TGCATCGATACAAACGCGCGATTGCATCGATACAAACGCGCGATTGCATCGATGTAATCGCTTATAAAGCGTATTGCCGCTCTAAAGAATGTGCTAATTCGTTACATGATAGGATGCACTTTACTCGATCATATAAGATCCCGAAAATGGGGTAAAATAAAAGTCTAAAACGAATTATTTAAGGATAAAGTGCCTAACTTTGCACTTAATTTTATTTGGAGATATTTCTCTACAGAGAACCTGTTAACTTTTTGTTTTCAACTCAGGCCCTATACTTAGTTATCAAATTCCCATTTAACCGAAAACATGAAATTGCCCAGCGGTTTAACGACACTCCACGCCGTCTGGTGGTCCGTCAGTCGCCGTAAGACGCTTGTCAACGTCGGATCTGTGTCAAAGTTTCTCTGCCTTATTTTGTTCATAATATTAATTTTAAACGCGCAGATTGTGGGACGCGAGAGGCGGCCCCCCTACACCTCACCTCCTAAAATCTAGGTTCGTGTTCAGTCGCGCGTTTGCATGGAGGCAATCGCCTATAAATCGCAAGTGTAGCGAAGGAAACGCGCGTTCATGAAACGCGCTGCTGAAAGTCGCAGTGTGTAACCACTCTTACTAGATGCCAATATTAAACCAAAACAGTGGTTATTAAAATTTCTGACTATCGGTTTGTTTGATATTTGACATCACATAACGCACAAACTACAGTATAAAATTGAACTGGAAACCTTTTTCTTTCAAAATGATACATAAAAGCTGTGTTTTAAGCTGACTCCTCTGGAGTACGTCAAGCAAGATCATCTTTTAATGTTAGTTGCTAGATTGAAATCGTAAGTAGTATCAAGAATTCACAAGCTAAAGATCAGGACTACGCTTCGTCAATTAGGTACAAAAATACAAAAATTGGGATTTACAACAGATTTCGTAAAATAATTCAATCCAAAAAAAATCCGCCCTACATATGTATATATCGTGCATGCTCCCATTATAGCGGCAGCATTAGCTCTATAATGGGAGCACGCTGCCTCACTGGATGGCAATGGCCACCTGTTGAATCAAGCACAACTCAGGGCGGTGATCCCAGTGTCTATCTGAGTGGCGATCCGGCGAACAAATTGTAGTTAATATTATTCTGAGAGCTAGATAATTATAAAGCCAATAATGCTACGTTATCATTGATATACACTTGTTTACGCAGAAATTATCCGGGTTCAATCGCTTGAACATAAATCACGTGTAATGATAACGAAATAATTATAAATACCAACGAACTGCTTTTATTTATTTCCCTTATTAATTGACAAGAACTTGTTGCCCCCGACTTTGTCCGCGTAAAATTTGGACTTCCTTATGTACTAGTAAAATACAAATTAATAATATTCGTTTTTATAAGGCGGACGGCTATGGAGTGGAATTCCCTGCCTGCAGACTTGTTCCCTGAACGTTATAACTTGGACCTTTTCAAGGTGAGAGTGAATAGGCATTATCTATGTGTGAATGCTCCATCGTCGACCTCATAGTCACTTTCCATCAGGTGAGATGGAGGACAAATACACACTTACATTAGACTAAAAAAAAAGTTTACAAGTGTAAGGAATAAGATTTTCTATAGAAAAGGGTTTTTAAAAAATACTTCTACAAACCCTTGACATACGTATTTATTTATTCTGCATTTAAAGCATGCAAATCAAGTTTCAAAAAATCGCAACCACGCAACAACGCGTTAAAAAGTTCCCATATAAACTTTAAAACCCTTTTAGATATAGCTTAAAAAAAGTATCATGTTACCTTTTGCCATTTGCAATAGTAGAATAATATTTTATACTCACTTTCAGCTTTGTAAGTTCAAGGAATACGATTTTTTATACAAACATGATTACCCTTGTTCACCTTCTCAGAATCTGTTCTTATCTTAGTACGCCTATACTAAATAAAAGTAACATATCCTCAAGTTTTCCATGTTTCTAGAACTTATAATTTTTGCTGTGCGCACAGTACATCTACCATTAAATTGCACTGGACCCTTCTCCTATATATATAGGTATGTTTAGATTGGAAAACAGTTCAATTTTCTTGGAACTTGAACTATCTATAGGTCTGGATTGGTACAATAATATCTTTTTTTTTACAATAACGTCATGTACCTTGTTTCTTTTTTTAAACTGATTTACTTTATTGTATTGTATTTTAACGAAAGTAAAGACATACGTCAGTAAGCAATGGGGCAGTATTTGTAAATAAATGTGGCATTTGTATTTAAATGATGATTTTAAATTTGCAAGCATTAGGCAAGAAAAATCTAAACGGTCATCTTTTTTAATGATTGATCCTCTTTCTCTGAGACATAAAATAAATTAAAGCAATGCCTATTTTAATCTGTTCTGAGCTACGCAAAAAATTTTTCATTTGTATACATTAACTTTGATAGTTTTATGTTGGGCCTCAAAACTAAGACTGAAATGACGACATAAGAAGAAATGACCATTATACATTTAGGTACTTATTTTTAGAACTAAGTAAATCGCACCATATGTGGAGTTACGTCAAAAACGTTTATTGTTCAATTAGATACAAAAAAATATAACCCACGTCTTCTCCATTCTTATAACTATGGACTAATGTTATTGTAGATAAAGTTACAAGAATTGGAGAGGGTTATATTTTTCTGTATCTAATGGAGCAATAAATATGTTTGTCTTAACTCCACCTATGCCATTCTTCCTTGGGAGTGCGAAATGTTGATTATATTTTCTATACTAACATTATATTAATTAATATGACCTGAAAAAATGTAAATAACGCAAACAAGTTGGCTTCTGCTTTTTCATATATTAATTTAGTATCGTTAAACATAACGATAGTAGTACCTTGAATGCAGTTCATTTATAATTTATCTGTAGATCAACTAATATAAATGGAACAATTAATATTGTGTTTTCCCAGTTCCACAATTTCAAGTTACGACAGTATGTGGTTTCATGTGCGATATGTAACCTAAGATAATTTGGAGTCAAAGGGAAAAATATGCAATTGTGAAAAAAAAAGGGAAAATAAGATTGAACTTCAACTTGGAACTTCAACATTATTCTTTTTGTACGTATGAAATGTTTTTTCGACTTTATGCTAAGGAAACCATCGACAATAACTATGTATAAAAATATATCCAAAGTGAGAAATTAGAAAAATACGAGCAGCTTTCAGCAGTACGAGGACATTGTGATTTAAACGAACTATTGTCATTGAATTCCTCTTCCCACACCCCGCAGATCTTGTAAGGCTGTTTCTCCTAAGATACAATGTTTTATATGGAAACTCACCTCATAACCAAGTTTCTTAAGGAACAGTCTCATCAGAGGAGGCTCGTCACCAAAGAACTTGGTCAGCCTCTTGACGCGGTCAGGGTTGCTGAACGAGTACGGGTCTTGATGCCGCTGATGGCCTGAGCGGATGTATTGCTGGGACCTGAAGAAATTGATGAAACCTTCTATAAACACTAAACAATGTAATACGAATCAAGGATTTAAGATATATTGTTAGCAGGGTTGGAAAGAAGATTCGTTGTTTCTGCCTACCCAATAGTATTGTATGTATAAAGCACTTTAAAGTACAAAGTCACTTTAAAGTGTGTCCATAGACAGTCCACTGGACAAATTAGGAATATCCCAGGGGCATTGTTGCGTCCGTTCTTAGTCTTCTTCGCAATTACGGCGTCCAGCACTATTCTATACCCACGATTATTTGAACTGGGTGTCTTTTCTAAAATCTATTCGCTGTGAGAATGATTGTTTTCATAGTAGATGTGTAACATATTGTTACAAGTCGTAAATATTAATTTTCATAATAAATAAAAAAATGTGTACTAACAAGAGCTTCAATACGGAAGTATAAATAATAATAATTTATTTATATAATTGATAAAGTTGTCGATGATCTAAAAATTTTCTTGATAACTTTACATAAGTAATATTACAAAAAAGTTGAAGGCTTGAATGAAAATTAAAAAAGTTTTTTTTACTCATTTGGTTTAACGTTTCTTTAACGAAGATACGAAATAGGAAATGAAACTATTCTTCCGGGTCTAAATCCCATATTGTCGCTTAGCAAACAACACCGCTCAAGTAATTTGAAGTAATTGTAAAGGAGAGTGAAAAAACTGCACTAATATTATTGCATACTAGATTTTCTAATCTATTATTGATAATAAGTGCTCTGTTTATGAACATAGGTATATGAGTTGGTTGTAAAACTTTTATTGATATTCACGTTTTATTTGGCCTTGACTAACGTTCAAAAGTTAAAATCGCCAATTTTTGACTTGAGCGGTGTTTTTTGCTAAGCGACGACAATATTTGTTCTTACAAACAAACCAACCTTTTGGGCCCTTTGCACAGGATTATTCTTTGATTAAAATTGACAATGGTCATTAATAGAAACTCACTCTTGATCTGCTGCAAAGACCATGTGCTAAAGGTATCCATAAATAGTGATTTACCGATTATCATCAACTTATTTAACACGGAAATTTCGGTTCATGTCCTTGAATTGTCAATCCTCGCCAGTAGCAAGTCATATAATTTCAAAAAGACTGCTTACTTGTACATATGCCTCAAAGCAGCGATCTCAGCCCTGATGTTGTCCATCTCCTGCATGACGAGGTGCTGAGTTCTCATTTCACTGGACAGATGGGCCACTGACCGGGCCAGGGTCACCACGTGGGACTCTAGTCTTTGGAAGCGCTTGTTTATGCCCTGTGGGAAGAATATCTTTATAGTAAGTGTTTATGGGAATTATTTCAATTGAATCCACTGACATTTCAATGAATAATTAATGAGCGCTCTCGAGGGTGTTGAGATGACAAAGTCCTGTAGCTGTCATACAGAGTCCATCGCCGCTTAGAGCCTGGAGGTTTTCTCTACGCACTTTACTTCGTACTGTGTGTACTTCTCAAGTCGTATCTGCTCGGATACTATAAGTAGGCGTGTATACAGTAAGTAAGAGTTATAATTGCTAATGTAGTTGTCCCATTTTATGTGATTTATGCCAGTAACCGAAGTTAGTGTAAGAGCTCCAGTGAATGAACGATTAAGGAAAGTTAACGCCTAGAAATTACTCTCCGAATGGGGATCGGTTCGGTGTATGTGTTGGAGCTGACAATTGACACTTCCGTTGGTACAATTTCTCTTGATTGTAATTTTAGCAAATGACATGAAATGACACTAATTTTATTAATTCACTAAGTTCAATTACTGGTGCTCCTAGCCTACCTGCCACCAACTATACATATTTCTCGTAATATATTTTATTATAGCCTTTACTTTAGCCTGTAAAGCAAAAATGAATGCAATTTCAGTGCCTTTTCTCAAAAGAAGTTTTTAATTTTTTTATGATATCAAGTGGCGGGACGAACAAGTCGTGCACCTGGTGGTAAGCAACATGTCTATGCATGACAATTGTAGTGCCACTCAGGGCTTTAAATCGCAAAAATGTGAGGGTCACTTCCACTGCGTCCATCATTCTGGGACATAAGTTGACAAGTCCCATGTGCCCGTAATGTCATCAGAGCTCTTACCCTCTAAAACCAGAACGCAGTGATGCTCAAATTACCGCTGAATAGCATAAATAGGTACTTCCCTGGATGAACTGTATCAGAAGGAGCTTTATTGCTACTAAAGCAACATATAATCTATTATCAACATAAATAAATAACCTATAATCAAAATGAATTAATTAAATCTAAATGTTTATTGAATTGATATTCAATTATTTTTATGTGAAATTACTCCACTAGTTTGTTATAATGATTAATACAAAGATCAAACATTCAGAAAAAAAAAAATTGGCACAGTATGCTAGAAGACGTCGGTTCGAATCCGGCCGGATCGGAATTTTTTTTTCTGAGCGTTCGATCTATGTATTAATAATTATAATTAAATCTACTTAAGTACTCCTCTAATAATATTAATGCGTCAGACAACCATACCAATTTCCTGGTCTCAAAACCGGGGCAATACCCAAAACACCCAGACCTGAACCAATTTAGAAATGTTTTTCCCAAATTTTGCTCTACCGAAAATCAAAACAAGGATCTTGTCATTTAGCGCCCACGGTGCAAACCGTTGGGCCACCGAGGTCGTTTCTGTATTGCAACTACAAAAAATAATTAAAAACGGAAAGAACAGCGCCGTGAAACATTCTGCCTAACCTTCAAGTCGTGTTTCTTTCTATTCTCATGCGAGCTTCGTCTTTTATCTCTCACGGGTCGACTGCTAACTGAACTTGATGGGAGGGAAGACATGCTGCCGTATCGACGTTTTGACGATAATCTGAAATCCATGATAAAAAATTAAGGAACATCCTAATTTCAACAGGGAAGATGGTTTCTCCGTAACATCACTTTAAGATCCAGTATTTCCTCTGATGAAAAATCCCAAGCAGAAACAAAACACCAATACAACTCATTAATATGTTTGGTGTTATTTTTATTTTTAAATTTATTTTAATTAAGAAATGTATTGCAGTAAAAACATCATATTGTTAAAATAAAATATTTTATAAATCGTACAGTAGCGTAAATCGGAACAGTGTTTGGTAAATTAAATATAAGGATTTGACTAATAACATTTATAGTTTCGAATAGACTGATTTGCATTCATATTAGACATAACTTGCTGATGATTTTTCATCTCAGTCAGTCTTGCCCAAAGGAACTGCAAAGGGTCCGAAACGTTGGTTTGCTTGAAAAAACATATATACGCTATTTAGATCCTAAACAATAGTTTCATTTCCTACCGTTTTAAAGTTCATAACTTCGACATACCTACTTTGGAACGCTGAGCTGGTGGTACTAGTGTCAAATGATGGGAGGCGCAAGGGTCCACACTTATTGTCAAAATGAAGTCAGGCGATCATCCTTGCTGTTTATATAATATGATGGTTTTACTGCGGTCACCCAAACGGAATGACATAATAATCCTATATTTTTCGACGGGCAATGGTCTCTTATAACAAAGTCTTACCTGGACTCCCAAGTAGGTTGCTTAGCCAAATTAGCAGGTTTTCTCACACCCAGCAGCTGCAGTACCTCAGCGTACATATTCTCCAGCCCTCTTAGTTGCCTCCGGATAGCCCTTGCATCTCCCGTCGAGGCATCGCTATCAGTTCTGCCGTCCAGGAGTGAAGAGAGGTCTAAGCTGCGGGTTGTTGTTGATGTCATGTCTGTTGTGTCCAGGCCGAATACTGGAAAACATTTTGTGATTTTTGGTTGCTGAGCGGGAATTAACCTCCGAGAGAGGAAAATTGGGGGTCTGATTTCTATGCCCCAAATTCTTGCTTCATGATTAGCAACTATTTAGGAATGTGATAAACTATGAGACCATAGGCATTATTGTTTTTAGACTTAAATCGCTCAGACCAAAAATCTTATAGCTCATTTCGAAATCATGATTCATTTTTAAAGGGTGAGTTACCAGTCACTGACAAATACTATATCAAATAGTATTTGACCTATTTCTTAACTTATATTTTAATCATAATTAATACTAGCATAAGCAATGTTATTATAGTAATAGCTTTTTACTGTGGTAGATTAAGTTTGTTGGTTTTTATTACGATACCAAGTGACGTGACGAAGTTGTGCACCTGGTGGTAAGCGACATGTCTACCTATAACAGTTACAGCGCCATTCAGAGCTTCATATCACAAAAATTTAAGGGGCACTGCTACTGCGCCCGTCACTCTGAGACATAAGTTGACAAGTCCCATGTGCCTTTAAAACCGAAACACAAAAATCGATACCACCAATGAACACTAGCAGTAATAAGTTGGCATACAACTTATTTTTTGCTCATTTTCTTTTATTTTAAAAATGGCCATATTTACTTACTAATATTATGCTCTTCGAATTTTCTGAAGAAAAAAAGAAACAAAAACAAAATTCGAAAAACAAAATGAAAAAAAAAGAAACAAAAAACAATATCAAAAAAAGGACAGGTCCAGATATTAAGTTGGCGTAGTGTTCATTGGAGTACTTCCCTGGACGAGCTCTTTCACAAGGAGCTTTACTGCTACTACTGGTTTATATGCAAAGACTAACGTAATGAAATTGTTGCCGCAGCTGAGTAGATATTATAACCGTTTTAAACTCTTATCCAAATTCAGAAATGACAGTCCGATACGTAAGTCAGTGAATAACTTACAATGTTTCTTATAATGGTGGTCTCGTTTAGAAGTGTGTTTCTTGTGGGAATGCCAGCGTGGAGAGTCGCGTCCTCGTCTGCGCTCCTCAGGATACTCTGACGCTCGACCTGGTAAACTGGAATGAAGAAGTATGGTAATCATGGAGTAAAATCTTTCACTTCATCAATATTCAGTACTAGACTTTATCCATATCTAACATCTAATATGACTTGTTCGACCCGTCACTTGATATTATATAAAAAAACTGAAATGAAATCTTTACAGCAGCACTGAGAAACATATTTACCTATTCCTCTTGTGCATGTCAGAAGACGGTGAGATGGGAGGCAATGGAGGAGTTACAGAACTATTAGAGCTGCCTGAAGAATCAAGCCGCATGCTCGCCAGCTTTGGTTCCAGGATCTGTCGCAGTTCGCATTCTACCAGGTCTGCCCATTCGTTTTCACCACCTGGAATATATGTTTTTCATTTACAACTTCAAATTTAATCCCAAGATCAGATTGGATCATTGTGGGAATCCAAAATTGCGTCAGGAATAAATATGGGCTTCGGATTAAAATCTTCAGGGCCGATAACGAATTCTACGAGGATAATACGCAAATCTAATATGCCCGCCGTACGACTTACCCTGTGCGTTATTTTGTTGACTAGTCCCCGCCTGCGGCTGGGTGCGGGCAGGCCCTACAGCATCGGAGTCTGCTGACGTATCGTGCAGGCTAGCTTCAGGTCTTCGCCCACTGGAGTACGCTACACTACCTCGCCCCGAATCCACGTTTGAGGACTGACCACCGTTTTTGTCGTAGTCTATAAATTATTCAAGTGAAACTTAATTGGTGTGGTGATACTAATAGGACTGATGTTAAAAGAGTTGATTGATATCAGTTATTGAATGATGTTTGGTTCCAAAGAGTAGATTTTAACATCAGTAGGTGAATGTGGATGGACAAACTTAGATATTAAATAAAATTTAACATATAGACGTTATTATATAGGTTATATTTAATACTCAATACTCAATACGTTTATTTACCTGAACTAGCACCAGACCCAGCACCCTTCTTTCCAAGCGCTTTCAAATCCTCTATCCGATTTGGAGTCTGCCTCGATGACGAAGGTTGCGGGTTATACGCTTCGGCTTTACCACTAGAATTGTAAACACTGTCAGCTGATTTCTGGCTTGCACTCTCATCATTTTTGTCTTGACTTGTAGAAGGTTCGTCTTTTTTTTGATTTGTGTCAGGTGTTCTACGCTCTTTGTGACTGTCTGGAGTTCTTCTGTACACATTTTCCTGAGCCCTTTGTGAATCAACTGATCTTCCACTTGTTCTTATTCTTTCTTCAAAACTGGATCGTCCTTGGGCAACTAATCTTGATCTGAAGCCTCCATCGTCCGATTCTCTTTCTTCACAATTTCTTTGACTGTCATTTGGTGTACCGTCTAACAGGTTCCCGTGAGAATTTCTCCTAGATCGATCATGGATTTGTGGTGTTGCGAGTTCGTGTCTTGGGTGTGCGTCATCGAGAAGATGAGGGTGGGAGGAAGCTCTTCGACCGTCGACGAAACCTCTTTGTCTGACGATCTCTCTTTCTAGTTGTTGTGGGCTTCTTAGGTCTTGTCTTGAATGGGAATTGTCAAACTGTAAAGAAAGTAAAGTTAATATTAAAGTAGGTATACTGGTTTACTACAATGTTTTTGTTTCATTAGAAATTAAATATATATATATTTATTTTGGATTTAATACAGGCTGGCAAGATTTAATACGTGCCTACTTATCTTACACAACCGTAGAGGTTTTAAGCGCAGGTGCAACAACTTTTTATCTGAGTCCATATTTTAACTGTAAAAAATTAAAAATTTCAATCATTACTGATTGAAGAATGTCATTTTGTCTTATCCATCTATATCAGCCTTTGACAATTGATTTCTGCTCGTAGACCTCTTTCATTTCTTCATTTTAACTCTGACCATCTATTCATGAACTGATTCATAACTTTTTTGCTGATCGGCTAAGAGATAAGCGATCACCTGAGTACAACCTTGCGGTCGGTATTTTGTGCCGGTATGTGGATACCGGTGATCTCCGTATCCTATACCTCATTTTTTTTTACAATATCAAGTGACGGGATGAGCAAATCGTGTGCCTGGTGATAAGCTACATGCCTGTCCATAACAGTTGCAGTGCCACTCAGAGCTTCAAATCGCAAAGATCTGAGGGGCACTGCCACTGCGCCTGTCACCCTGAGACAGTAAGTAAGTAAGTTGACAAGTCCCATGTACCTGTAATTTCAACAGCATTGTCCGGGCAATATACCCTGCACTTGTTCTAATCTATTGTGGTCAGATGTCTGTTATTGGTTTCAAAGCATTTACCCACTGTTCTTACGATTAAGCGGAGTAAAATTGAGCATGAATCTTTCCATATTTCTTTTAGGACTAATTTCTTTAGTTAGTTTCTGCAAAAGCGTTTCGTATTCTATCCCAAATGTGAAGACTGGTCGAACAAATTGCGTGAAGATTGTTGACGCCTATAGCTTATAAAGCCGACCGCGAATGCTACGGTTGGCTACAAACGCTGTCTATACCAGGAATATACGTCGATTGACTTTTGTGGTTTAGTTTTAAATAGTGTGATTTTTGACGGAAATAGATGTAATAGTTTAGGTTTTCAACTAGCAACTGGGAGTTTAGAGTGAGATGAGAGATTAACTTTTTAATTACCCGAACTGATTCTTATCGTAGGTGTTCGGTATTTCTCAAAAATAAATTCGTTGGCAACATTTAAGTTTGACAGTAATTCTTCGTCAATATTTTTGATTTTTTTGCATTGAATTTTGTTTATATTTTTGAGTTTAGCTGTCAATAAAATAAACATTAGTTATATAAAACATAGACTATGATAAAATATAATAAATAAAATTTATACAATACAATACAATACTACACTATACAAATATTATTTATTGTACACAAGACAATATAATGATAAATAAAAGATGGGGTACCTACTACCGGCGGCTAATAAAAACTATTTGATCGTAAAAGCATCGTTTTGATTTAGCTGCTGGATCCTTTTGTTAAAATATGTTCTTTCCTGTGGCAAACCTATTTTTTCATGCGGAGGAATGTTGTAGGAAGTAAATGTTGACCTTAAATGCTAACTGGTGGGGCATTATAAGCTTTGGAGTTTATTGCTCGTTACACGACGAACGGTGAAACAACAAAACACGGTTATAACAGGTAAGACGAGTAAACGTTCCATTTGTCAAGTTTACCAAATCTGTACACATACCTACTTAATGATGATACTTTCAAAGATAAATAATAATTGATCACTAATTACAGGTTTCTTACTACGGTATGAGTTCTTATTATTTTCCCGATATTTCGGAACGGTTACACACTCCACGGTCACGGGTCAACCTGTGACCATGACCTGACTAGTGATAATCATTTTGTGGATAACCACGAAAGCCTTAAAATCCTTAAAACATACATTAAATAAGTCTAACCATATTTGAATACTAACAATGTAAATCATTATATATTCTTAATGTGCAAGAAAAGCAATTAATTTAATTATTCATTTTACTAGTGTAAATAATTTATAATTATTTTTTGACAATATTATTTGTAATTATGGGTGTAATACAAAGACCAGCTGAAATATAATTCCAAACTAATTATTACTCACATTATTTGATTTATAATTTGTATAAATCATATTATTTCAATTACCTCGACGTTTCGGACGTATTGCAACGTCTATGGTCTCGAAGGGAAGAGGCGGGTGCCCGTTTTTTCAGAGTTTTCTAACTACCCGCACTAGGTTTTCATTAAAATTTGTTTTATACATGATTAAGTTCGGGATTATCTGTTATTTAATCAAATAATGTGTGAAAATCGTGAAAGTTTAAATCCAAGTAATTATTACACACTAGTTATTGCCTACGTGGTCTATCGGTTACCATGCCGGACTGCCACGCAGAGGTCTCAGGTTCGATTCCCAGGACGGGAAAAATATTTGTATGGCCTATATTTATTTCTATCGTGAGTTGGGTGTAATTTGTGGTTGTCTATGTGTGTGTCCATGGCACCCGCGACACTGAGTTTCCTTAGTGCGGGGCTATGTTGAGTGTGTGCGTTATTATTATTATTGTGTTAGGGGGTCATCACGATAACCACGGTAGCCTAGCGGTTAACATTGTAGGCGTTGGATGAAGAGGTCCCAGATTCGATTGCTGGTACCAATTTGGCAAATAAACTTTTTTAAGTTGGTTTTAGTATGAATGTTTTCGGTTGTGCTCCAGATTAAATTCCGTTGCTATAGTACAGTGATTCTAGTTTGAGACCACATAATTGGTGTAGTTGTCTAGCATATTATTATCACACTTATCGACACAGAATTAAAGTCAGAAAAAGATATACGTTCATGTAATCAGAGTCCAAACAGATCTAAAGCTGTTTAGCTGTGGTATCAACTTGTGTATCCACCACAACCACCACACGAGACACTCTTATTAGGTATAATCCTACCCTTTCGAAAACGTAAAATGATGGTATAATGTGTGATTACAATTTTTTTCTTCTTTACTGTCGGCTGTGTTAACGGGCAGGAGTAGTTTTGAATTTTTTTTTATGATGTCAATAGATGGGACGAAGAAGTCGTACGCCTGGTGGTAAGCGACAAGCGTAACCATGACAGTTGCAGCACAGAGCTTAAAATCGCAAAAATGTGAGGGACAGTGTCACTGCGCCCGTCTCCCTAAGACATAAGTTGGCAAGTCCCATGTACCTGTAATTTCATCAGCATCCTTAACCCTTCAAATTAACGGCAGAAATAAGTAAGGTGGCACTTCCCAGGACGAAGTCTTTCACAAGCAAATTTGCTACTAAAAGTTATTTATTATAAAGAGGATAAAAGATTTCTAACTGTTTTAACCAAAGTAATCTAGGAAAGAGTTGAAGCTGAGCTCGCAGCGGTATAATGGACAATAACAATCTCGATGAAAACGGAGAAGCACCAAAAACAATGCATGATTTTCACAGAGTTTGAAATGTTTATAGTTCTGAGGCGTATGTGGCGACGAATTCCGAAAATTAACAATGTCTATCGTATTACAAAGCCTAGTATTATACACGTATAGCGGTGAAGGCGACAATAGTTATGTTTAGTTTGACATTAGGTTATAACACTCTTTAGATGCATACATTTCAATTCGATGATTATTAATTCTTAATGTGTTAGATTAAACTTTGATATTTTGAAATGTCTGGAAACCTAGTGGGAGAAAAACTTCTTTATTGAAAGTTCGAAGGTTGAAATCTTTGTGGCGGCATGTACCTATGAGTTTAATTTCTATGTTACGTGCATTTGTGAATGTTTAGCTGCAGTAACTCTTGCTAACGGTGGCGGTGAAGGAAAATACTTCGATAAAATCTTCAAGTCAAAGAAGGTTTATCAGGAATCTTGGAAAACGTATGTAGTCCTAAACCCGCATTGATCTAGCATTGCGTACTAGAGCTTAAACCAACTCCTAGGAGGAGACTCGCGCCTGGCAGTGGGACGTAACTATTTTTTCGGATATAAATCGTGTATATTTGTTTTCTTCAAATAAACCTACGAATCGGACCGTTTGGGCCGTTTCGGGTCGTTTAGGTTCCATGGTTACGGCTGACAGGCAGTCGTTATTTAGATCCGAAAAAATTGTTTCTCTTCCTATGTCGAGATACCTCCAATAAACACTACGCCGACTTTATTTTTTGGTCATTTTCTGTTATTTTTGTAAATAATCATGTTTGTTTCCTAATGTTATACTCGGGAACTTTGTGAAAAAAATAAACAAAAAAGAAAAAACAAATTTTATGAGAAAAAAAAACAGAACAAGTCCAAAAATTAAGCTGGCGTAGTGTTCATTGGCTGTATCGATGTGTAATAATGGCGAAAACCTAAGAAATCGAAGTATTTACTGCAAGCGTAAATTAATTTGCCACATGTTATTAGCCAAACAAGTATGATCAGTAACCAAAGGGAACAATTTCAAAGAAAAAAGAAATCTCAAAGATCGACATATTTTTGAAGTGAGCTTTTAACAATGATAGCAAGTTTCTTACAAGCAAAAATTCTGTGGCTTCGTAAGATGTTATTAACAATTGCGTTCGTGAGAAGCGGTTAATAGTTGAGAACTATTGTTCTTTGTTTCGTGTGGGAACGAACGGGGCTTGTGGGGTGTTTTTGGTGCGCGTTGACTGTGGTCGGTTGCCTGATTGGTACTTTGAATAGTTTCCTTATTGGCTTTACTTTCACCGTGTAGTTATTTTTTGTATTTATTGACTTTTCGTGTTTCTACTGACGCTTTATTTTGGATTAGGTTAGGTCTTTCAATATTATTACACTAGTACTTGTAATATTAAGTAGAAGTATACTTCTTGTCCTTTCCACTCCTGGCATTTACTCAATCATCTAGTCCACCGTTTCAAATTTTAGATCTTAAAGAAAAAACCTTACAGCTCAAACTTTAAATACATGCCGAATTGTCAGAAAGTTCATGCAGATGGAAGACGACAAAACAGGTTCTCATCATCATACAGCCTCAACATACTGCATTTATTTGATTTCTGACGAGTAGTTAAAACTATAGGAAATGAAACTATTTTTCCGGATTTAAATCGCGTATATTTGTTTTTTCAAACAAATCGATGTTTCGGGCCCTTAACAGGTCCCATGGTCCCGGTTGACCATGGTCAACATGGAAGCATGGCATGCATGCTATGCATAGTTAAAACCAGCCAAGATGCTGGGAAAGAAAGACAAAAATAATGTGCCAGTCTGTACTATAAGTACCAGAGCAACGAAGTTCAGCCAGGGCATTACTATGAAGACCAACTTAATGTACTTACAGAGTTTATGAAACAAGTTATACATTTTACAAACGTATAAAGACAAGCATAGAAAAATGTGACAGAAGAAACAGTGATAAGAACAAAAATATGTCGTATAATTAGACGTCATTTTTATGCCTGTTCTGCGTAAATTAGATTTGGTTAGACGGTACTAGTTTAATTACGGTCTAAGCTTATGAGATTTCTCATTTCTCACAACAAATTTATTTGGAAAAACACTCACCTGACTTTGTGGTCCAGTCTTCAACGACGTAAAGTTTGCCATGGAGCGAACTTCCATGTCTCTCTGATACATTGCACTTCGCCGACCTGGAGGTCCGTATTGCGAGTACAGGGCATCAGCTCCCAAAGCTTGTGCTCTGTGAGGAGTGGCCAACATTTCGTGCGATCTCGCCTGGTTTAACAGCATTTGTTGCTGGACTATTTGGTGCTGCATTAACTGCCTATAAAAAATAATTTCTTTTAAAGTGTTTGATATTATGACCTGATTTTTTGACGTGTTGTTTTCAGAGATAGTATTTTGTTTTTGCGCGATTTCGTAAGCATTGAACGCCGAATTTTGAATCAAAAATTTTCTTTACATCAGACGACAAAACTGCTTTTTTAAAAGTAGGTACTTGTGGTAAATAACATTTTTTTTGTTATATTATAAAGCTTATTGAATTAAGTCGGTTTATAACTTTGTCTATGTTAATAATATTAGAGTTTAAAGACACCATTGGTTGTCATTGTAATGTGTAAAACAGTAATCAAGATTCAATTGAAAGTTTTTGAAGGCTATTTAAATTTGTGAGTATACGCTAATGGGTGCTAATTAGCAAGTTTTAAAGTAAAGTTAAATTATTTTGACTAGCAGACCGTAAAGGCTGGAAGAAATCAGTATTATAAGTAGCTTATTTATTTATTTTTATTGAGATTTTCCTACCACGACGCGCGTGTTCACGCTAATATACTTAATAAAAGTTTTGTTAACAGAGAATTGATAGTAATCCAATGAGAGATGTTTAGTTAAAAAATGGTCAAACCTCTTCTAGGCCATTTACTTTAGTTCCTTACCTGTGTGGCGATGGACTTGGATATGCCATGTTGCTAGGCACATTGTTGGTCATACCATGGTTGTATTGCACATCTGGTCTATTTTGTACTTCAGGTCTGTTCTGAGGCATTGGTCTACCGTAGATCCCTTGCTCCACCTTTCTTGGTGTTTCTCTTGGCGTCACTTGTTCTTCGGGCCGTTTTCTGTCTTCGCTATTGTTTAAATTTGGTTCTTGATCAGACTTTTCCTCACTTTCTTTACTTTTGAATCTACTCGATATCATGTCTTTTAGCGTGTGATACGTTTTGCTGACCGACTTTGCGCTTTTAGGTGCGTCTCTAGTATTATCCTTTCCGGTCTCAACAGTGACTGTTATAATCTGTGAATTATTAGGTGTCTCTGACTTTTGGTAGTTTTTAGCAGGTATTGGAGGTTTCTGGTTATCGTAGCCGAGGTTTCTGGGTATCACGCCAGGGTTCTGAGGCTGGTGCATGGCGTAACCGTAGTTCTGTTCTTGATACTGTCTGAAGTCGGAGGGGCCCGCTTGGTTCTGTGAATTAAAGAGGTATAACGTCATTAGTGTGCTGTGAGATGGGAATGGAGAAAACAATGGTTGGTAGGAATTGAGATTAGATGCGTTACGAATCGGGTTTAAAGAGGGGTAACTGTTTATTTGTCATACGGTAAAATATGATAGAAAAATTCAATTGTATTATTTATTATTTACAAATGTATTTTTTTAAATCGACTACAAAAAAATGGAAGAGGTTCTCAAAATAATAAATAAAAAATATTTTCTAAAAATAAAATATAAATATATAAAAATATTCCACCTTTTACGGTGGCAAATTAGGGTATTAATCCGGTTTATTGGATTTCACCTACTTTCCGTTAACCGATCTCAATAAACTTCGCAGATAGACGTAATTCCACAAATATTTGAAGTTGGTTTTTTTTTTATAAAAAAGGTTATAATTTGATCAAAGATGATGGTGCCGTTTGTTACGTTAGCAAGTTGATTTTTATGGTAAACAAATAGATGTGTATAAAACTAAAAGATTAGTGCAATTTATCAAGTGACAGAATGCAATATAAAGTAAAATAAAAATAATTATACCAACATTTTCAAGAGCAAATTCAACCATGTTGCTTGCCCAAGTATTATATCACTCAGTCCAAGATTTATTGTTATTGCATCGTCAGTAGTTTTCAAATTTTTTTTTAAAGTGTTAAAGTATTATTCACAATGATTACACTCACACATTTTAAAACATATTAAGTACCACAAAGTTAAGACTTTTTTTAACGTGTTCTAACATTTTTATATAAAGTTCCCTAAACATTTCTTTTGCGCTAAAATAATTGATTACAACCACTCTTTTACTACTTCACATATACGATTGTCACTTTCGCTTTTATAGCTTCAGTTTTAATTACGAGTTTTATTTACGATTTACTTTTTCAAAATTTGATATTGGAGAGGCTGCACCGATGCGCCCGGCAGCTAGGTACATTTGGGTCGCGACTGCGCCGGAGTCGACTTGCGCGATGCGCGATGCGATGGTTCGCGTGCGGCCTTGTCACGCCGTATTTTGTTTAAAGTTATTGTTTTCGAAGTTCGTGGTGAAAATGGTTGTCAAGCACGGGACATCCATTGAAGAATGCAAACAAACTGTCGATTTTAATTTAAACTATTTCAAAGATTTCACCCACCACTCTCTAAATCCGGTAGGACTTTAAAACAGACGTCGGAACAAGGGAGAACAGTACGTCGGGTTTAGATGACCAAGCCTGGGAAGTTATGAATTTAGGAATTTTTGAAAATTTGAAAAAAAAAAAACCTCTTAATGATGTATTTCACCTTAGTGGTGTACAGGGAAGGGAGTAGAAAATGTAGAAATGGTGGATATTAATGGGGGGCTTCTTCCTTTTGGCTAGGTCTACCTTCAAAAATAATATCAACGGCCAACTCGAGGTAAGCTATTCTAAAGTTTAGTTTTGTTATTCTTTTCCGTTTTCTTGTTAAATATACACTGTATTACTGTTCTATGTTAGTGTTACATATACGGTAGTGCTCTTTTATATAGCTCTTGTAATTAAACAAAATAATACGAATATATGAACTTTTATATTTCATGGGATAAAGATGTGATATAGGCATAGTGGCGGAAATTGGCTTTAAAGAGAAGCCAATTTCCGCCACTATTTCCAATTATATTCTGCCGTATTTCCTATATCTTTTCTTTTAATGTGACCACGCAATCTAGTAGATCGATTTCGTTTAAAATTGACTTTCACCTTAATGGTATACTATAGCGCTAAAGCGTGTGGGCTGTCCAAATTTTCGAGATTACTTTAATCGCTTTTAATGTTAAAAGCGTGAAATCAATTAGGGCTCCTACCATTACTGTAGTGCACCTTGTGAGGTTCAGTTGGCGACGTATGGTTGGTATTGAATGAGAAATAACATTATCTATATAGGTATACTAGAATATTGCTCTTGGTGCTGTATTGCCTTCCACGTGAAAATAAATAAATTCTTCAGTACGCTATATTACATCGTAGCAGTGGAGCTTCTTGTGATAGAGTTCGTCCAAGGTAGTACTGCCACCTTACCCATTTCTGCCGCCAAGCAGTAATGTTAGCGTTACTGTGTTCCGGTTTTGAAGGGTAAGGGTGCTGGTGAAATTACAGGCAACATGGGACTTGTCAACTTATGTCTCAGGGTGACGGGCGCAGTGGCAGTGCCCCTCAGATCTTTGTGATTTAAAGCTCTGAGTAGCATTGCCACTGTTATGGACACGCGTGTAGTTTACCATCAGGCGCACTTCTTGTTCGTCTCGTCACTTGATATAAATAGAAAAAAATCCCCTGAAGAACCCTGCCTTCATTCTGATTGTGCTATTTTACTAAGTAAATGCTTTAATATCGATAATATTTTAGATAATCTCTTTACCATTAGTGCTCAACAAAATAGTCTTTCGATATCATCGCCCGTTGGAAAGTTGCTGTGCTCCTGCCCATTTAAATAGAAAGTGGTTAGAAATATACAAGTATACTTGTAACGAATTTGTGAAAATAGTTACTTTCTTAGCAATAGGCA